GCCTTGAAAAACGCCATGGCTCGCCATAACTCGTTAAGCTTGAGGCTCAGCCTTGCCGCCACGCCACACCTCATGCCTTTCAGAACCTTGGTTCTAATCATTTTCCACAACATAATACTATCATGTCTTGACTAACTGGAGTTACAGAGAAGCGTAGTGAGAATAAAGAAAGATTTTAGGGTTTGAGTAGTATCAATTTGATGAATCGATCGATTGAAAACATGGAGAAGGTGATTGGGATCGACAAGTTTGGTTTTGGTGAAGACCATGTTGAGTCAGAGATGGCGTAGCAGTGACTGTTGTTGATATCGACGAAAGAGGTTGGCGTGTTAGTGATGATGTCGACATGCCTTTAGTGGAGCTTAAGAGAGAGGTGGATAATAAAGGAAATGATCAAAGCCTATCGTGGTGTTGAGAGGTGTGAATGTATGTTGTTAGGAAGAAGAAAACAATATCTACCTTCTTCCATAATATAGCTTGAGGGCATTTTAGTCCTTTCATAATGTTAGTAATTAAGCTTAACAGATGGTAATAGTCTCAAAGGTCACCAACGGTGTTTAGTACTGTAAACGAATTGAACAAATACAAATGAGGGTTTGTTCATGGTCATGTTCATTTAAGTTAGCCGAACAAACGAACATGTTTTCTTGTTCATGTTTGTGAACATACTAAACAAACATAACCAAACAGAAACAAACAAACATAATTGAACATATATGAACATAAACAAGCATATAATAGAGTAATGTAATAAAAAACAATTGAACATGTATGCACATAAAAGAAACTTAAATGAACGAGCATAAATGAAAATAAATGAACAACACAAATGAATGTTTATGAATATAATTAAACGAACGAGACAATTGTTCACGTTCGTTCATTTAACTAAACAAACAATAATTTGAACAAAAATTATCGTTTGTTTAGTTAAACGAACGAACATGAACAATGGTCTCGTTCATTTAAATATATTCATAAACGTTCATTTGTGTTGTTCGTTTATTTTCATTTATGCTCGTTCATTTAAGTTTCTTTTATGTGCATACATGTTCAGTTGTTTTTTGTAGGGGCGGAGCTTCAACATTTGATTTGGGGGGAGCGAAAGTATAATATGTATAAAAATTGATGAACGGGGGGGGGGGGGGGGGGGGGGGGGCATGGCCAAAATTTGTATGTTTTGGGCCTAATATGTACAAAATTAAAGTAGAAGGACTATATATAATAAAAAAATCAGGGGGGGCCACAACGCCCCCCCCCCCCCCCCCCTGCCCCTATAAAGCTCCGCCATTGTTTGTTCATAAACGAGCTTCATGCCAAACGATGCTTGGAAAAGTTATTGGAACGGCCGTGCTAGTGTTACCAAAAATCCTGAACCATTAATAGCAAAAAAGCCAATACTGGGATCAAAATTTAGAATTTTGGTAAACAAAAGGAACCAAAACTACATTTTACATAAAGCACGATATAAAAAAAATAAAATTTTGATATAAAACAAATTAGGTCTCAACTGATAACTAAAACATAAAATTTTCCTAGTTAAATAAAAAAGGTTCCAAATTATACTGGTTTTTATAAAATTCGGAGCCGGAGTAAATAATGAAATTTGGAGGTGTATATATAAGGATAAATGATTTACAAATTATCAAAATAGATAGGGCAAAACAAAATTCTAAGGATATATTATCAAAATTTAAGGTTCTGGAGACGAGAACGTTGAATACAGAAATCTAGGGACTAGATATTGAAACTCCATAACTTGAGTAAATACATAAAGGAAATTATAACTACTTTCTCATTAATTTAATACCCTCGATAACTGATCTAGAGAATTGAGAGAAAGAAGTCAACGCTAGAGGAAAGGTATCGATCCACGCTGAAAGAAACTAGAGGAAGAACGCTATGAAAATTGAAGTACGTATAAGCTTGCCAATAAGTTGACTGCAGAAAAGGAGACTACTAGGTATTGCTGAGAATTTGAGGTACGTTCCTCAAGCTGATAACTTGATGAAGTTTAAGTCATCGAAAATGAAATTGAAGTGTTAATGAATTTTATATGAGTTACTAATTAAATTATCAACGAGTTAAAAAATGTCGATCTGGAATGTGAGAAGCGTATTTTGGCCCAAATTAGTCAAACGTTGTGAAGTTTTTAATTTCTATTGTTAGATTAATAAAATTAAAGAATTTGTGAAGTTAATATGCTGATTTGTATGTTATAAGGGTATGTAATTGGAGGGATTAAGCACCAGATAATTGGGGATTATATCATTAGTGCATAACATTGTAATCAGATCAAAGATACTCTTTTTGGATTGGGATATGATGCAAGTCTTATTTCAAAAACATAAATAATACCTAAACCATAGGCACATGATAGATTGTTGTTAACATATGTTGAATGATACGGTGTTTCAAAATTGAAACATTAGGCATCGTTAGTTGAATAATGATAGTAAGTTATAGGAAATTGTTTATTATTCACATGATGATGTTCTTTGATGGAATTGATAGATAACTACAAACATTCTGGATTATGGCGCTGGTATATATAGGTAAAGAGTCTGATACAATTTGATTGCAAATTGCAGAAAGAAATTGATAAAAGAATAAGAACGGATAAAAGAAGGAAAATAGTTGTATCTAAAAACTTGTCAACTTTCAAGAGGTTGACTCTCTATCTCCCACCAAAAGTTTCTTACAAAAAAAGTGGTCGTCCCCTCTCTAATCTGTATACACACACACACATCTCAGCACTCCTAACAAACCCGAAAAAAGCTGAAACTGACACTCACTT